TGCAGACGACTCTTCTCTCACAGGGTCAGCAGGCCTGAAGTCACATGTGTTGCTATGGGCAACCACAATCTTCTGAAACTTGTTGGGGAGCCGGCTGCTCCTTCCTGGAACTCCAAGCAGGCTTCCCAATTGCATACCCAGACCTTTGTCTGGTTGTGTCACACCTTGCACTGGAAGCTGGGATAATGGGCACTTGGAGACAGTGTGCCACCATTCACTGCACCGCATAACAGCGCTCTTGCGGCAGTATCTTGGCCAAACTTCCAACTCTGCAGCCTTTTTTCCAGCTTAGGACTCTGCAACATTCATAGCTGGTCTCCTTTCACCAGTGTTGCCAGCGGCAACAAACATGCACTTCCCACTTTGGCAAACACAGTTCATCCATGTATGGGGCTCGTTCTGGGGATAACAACCCCTCCAGCCACAGGGCTCCGTCTCTCATTTCTGCAAATCTTGCTTCTTTTCTTTGCTTTGACCGCCCCTATATCTTCACAGTCACTTCACAACACTTTTGCACAGTCCAGCATCAAGAAATGAAGCACTGTCTCTTTAAGGCAGGTTCTCCTTCACCTGCACACACACCAAATTGTGCTGTCCATTGCACAGAAACACAGTTCTATAAACTGATGAACTTTACTTTTGCAGGGATCTCCAATTATGCCCGCATCCTCCACCATATGTGGGAACTCGCTTCAAGTGGTAGAGCTCTTCTTGTTAAACACACAGCAACTCGCTTTTCTTTTCAGGCTTTTTTACCCACTTTTATTTAAGAAAGTTCAAGAAAACACAAATGCTTCCCACGCAGGGGTATCCACCATCAAAACACAACAATATTTTCATTATTTTTCCTCCTGGCTTGCACGCAGTTTTAAGTCTGCCTCCTGCAGACTCTTCCCAAAGTATGGGCACTAGCACACAGCTAGTCCGGCTTCCACCTGACTCCACGGCAGAGACCTCCTGCTGCCGGGGTGGAATCCTCCTGACTCCGTATTGCCGGGGTGGAGCCCAGAATCATGGCCTTGGCCTCCACTAAAAGGCCTGCACACACCTGTGCAATCAGCACGCTGGCTGCTCCCAAAATATGGGCCCAGGATTGGAGATTTCATCCCCCCCCTCCCAAATCTCTAAGAAATCTCCAGGCTACAGGTCGCGGCCAAAAAACAGGCTTTACAAACCAAAGAGGAAACTTATAAATCAGTTTCCTCTTGCATTGTGAGAACTGCCTGGAGCCCCTCAACCTGTATAGTTGAGAATCCTGGGTCTCCATGATGATTTCCACCGTGGCAGGATACCGCACTGCCACATATAAAAAAGAGGAAAAAATATGTTTTTGTTTTCTTTCTTCACTTTCAAACACTTGTGGCAACAAACGAGATCTGCAAAACACTCACCATGCTTCTTATCAACTACCTTGGGTTGTCTACTTTCCAAAAAGGGGTAATTTTGGGGGGGGGGGGGGGGGGTTGGCGCTATCCTGGCATGTCAGGGCCTCCGAAACTGTGATAGGTAGTCAGGAAGTATGCCTCTCAGAAAATAGTTTAGGGGGTCTGCTTTCCAAAAATGATTTGTTTTGGGGGTTGGGGGCATTTTATGCCCAGCCATAGAAGGTTATGCCATACAACACTCACTCTTCTGACCACCTGAAGATCAAGATGTTTATGACACTTTTTGTTCACATGAAAATAAGTCAGTATTTTTTGCTAGGAAATAACTTTGAACCCCCAAACATTATATATTTATTAAATCAGACACCCTAGTGAATAAAATGGTGGGTGTTACAATTTTTTATCTCACATAGTACTCACGCAGCAATTTTTCAAACGAAACTTTTAAACAAAAAATACACTTTTTTTTACTTTAGATGCACAAAACATAATATATTGCTCAATTATTTGGTAAAATATAAAAGATGATTGTATGCCAAGTAAATAGATACCAAACATGCAAGTGTACAATCCAAACGCACACATTACTGCGTTAAAAATGGCTGTGTATATAAGTGGGTACTGCAGCGACCGTCGGCTGGAAACCGAACAGAATCAGCAAGGAAAAATGTCACCAGCACACCGAGGATCACCAATATGGGTCCAAAAGTTTTAATGAACGATCACATAGTTACATCAAGGCAACATTTCGGAGTCTCGCAAGACCCCTTCATCAGGCATGTGACCAAACATGACATGCTTTAAAACTGCTCATGCCCCGTGCAATGGCAACAAACTGCATACATTTTCAATATCCATAGGCAACAATTTAAAAGCCTTTACAAGTTACCATTTTAGATTTACAGAGGAGGTCTAGTGCTAGAATTACTGCCCTAGATCTGCCATTCATGGCGATACCTCACATGCATGGTGCAACCGCTGTTTACATGCTGGGCACAGGGTCAACACTCGCTGAGGGTGCTTTTTTTTGTAATAAGTTATTTTGATTTTTTTAATTATTTTTACACTGTCCCTTTCATTTTTGTTTGGGTCACTTTTAATGCTATCACAGGGAATGCAAATATCCCCTATAACTTCAGTGGGCATTGTCATATATTATTTTTGAGAAATCTGGGGTCTATCAGACTCTAGATATCTCCTCTGCCCTTACATTATCTAATGTCACCAAGATCGGTGTGATCAGATGCTTTCCCAATTTACAAATGGCGCTGTTTATATCCTGCAAAACTGAAGTGATGAAATGATTGTAGCTTCTAATTTCTTAGACTATAGAGATGATTGGCACCATTCCAGTATCCAATCAGCTCTATGGTCAGATGGCAGAAACACGGGCTGCATTCTCAGGTTCCCCCCGATGGCACGGGACTTCCCGAGAAGGCCGTGGAAGGCAGCGGGGGCATTTTCTCCCGCTGCTTGTAAAAGCAATCCTGCAGCTAATTAGCCACTAGGATTGCTTTTATACATGAAAGCCAATTGCGGGCTGAAAAAAAACACACAGGATGATGCCTGCAGCTGCAGGCATCATCCTGGTATAACCACTCAAAGTCCAGTGATGTAGCAGTACGTCGCTGGTCCTTATTGGGTGGGTGTATATGCTATGTTCTTTTTTTTTTTATGTGGGCTGAATGAAAAAAAGAGAAGAAATCTCTGCCAGAAAAAGTGTGCGGTATACCCACCGTTAGAATATACCACCCTGCATCCACCCACTTTTAATTCTGCCAGTCCAGTGATGCACCAGTACGGCGTTGGTCCTTGTTCGGTGTATATGCTATGTTCTTTTTTTTTATGTGGGCTGAATGAAAAAAAGAGAAGAAATCTCTGCCAGAAAAAGTGTGGCATGCCCACCATTAGAATATACCACACTGCATCCACCCACTTCGAATGTGTAAAAAAAAATGATAAAATATATATGCCGAAGCATAGAAGCCATCCACCCACTGACCACCCCAGGTCCCCATGCTTCGACATATATGCTCTTTTTTTAACTGTGGATGAAAAATCTCATCCAACAGCGCTGCCCACACTGACTTATGTATATTCTGAGAGCAAGACCCTGTTGCTGTTAGAATAAACAAGTTGGTGCTCTAGCTGAATGACATCCTCATTTCTCAAGCAGGCTTTTTCCCCCTTTCTAAGATGGGCATTTACAAGCTGCTAGGGGAAGCCCTGGTGATTAGGTCACATGTTGCCACATGTGCCAACTTCAAGAATGTATAAATGTCTAAATAGTGACACGGTTGAATAAAAATGTCCACGTATAAGTGGAAAAAGGATGACACTAAGTCCCAAACTATCTTGCTACTGCTCCCCATGTAGTCTGGGCATCCGGGGGGCTCCAAGTGACTATCTTTTCCCTCGTAAATCCGAAGCTTATATGTATAGCCTGTTGCCCTCTCACAGGTCTTATACATCTTGACCCCATATCTGGCACGCTTGCTGAAGAAATAGTTTGAATGGAAGACGGCCAGAAAAATTAATGAGGGACTCATCAACGCAGATGTTTTGCTGGGGAGTATAGACATCTGCAAATTTTTGGTTAAGGTGATTTATGAGGGGCTGAATTTTGTGGAGCTGATCAAATTCAGGGTCACCCCGAGGACGACAAAGTGTGTTGTCATTGAAATGCATAAAACGCATTATACTCTCATATCTATGCCTGGCCATGGTGGCAGAGAACACGGGCATATGATGAATCAGGTCTGTGGACCAATACAACTGCAATTCATTTTTTTTAGTAATGCCCATGTTGAGGGTTAGGCCTAAAAAAAACGTTAAATTCGGAAATCGTAATGGGTTTCCACGTGAATGGTCTGGCAAGGTTTGAATTTGGGTTGGCGATAAACTGTTGTGTATATAAATTGCTTTGATCCACAATCAATACATACAGATCTTCCGTGAAAAACAGCTCCAAAAAATCTAGGGGAGTAGTATTTAAATTTGCTGTTTCCACCTGAATTCCAGGTTGGGCAGTGAATGGGGGAAGTACGGGTGCTGCAGAATTTGTGGGCTGCCAATAGGGATTTGCAAGCACATCTGGAAGGATACTAGGGGCTCTAGGGGCCTGTTTGCGAATTCTTGGTGGCTACGGGACACTACTTGTGCTCACCACCACACCAGCTTGTAGTGCACTTATGAGACTCGCCACGGAGCACCTGGCTGTCAGGGACTGCTTGAACTGCTACAAAAAAATTTACCGGCAAGTGCTAACAGAGATCAGGCCTGATTCTGCGAACACTGCGGTTTTGTGTGCAATGTATCAAGTGACAGTGACGCGAATCACATATATATATATATATATATATATATATATATATACGTGATTTTGCGCACCCATGCTGCCCTGTAGCAGTATTATTACTATAGGGGGGCGCGGAAGCTGTTAAACATGTCCAGTAAAAAAAAAATTAAAAAATCAAATTTCATCATAAAGTTAGGTCAAAATGTATTCTGCGACATGTCTTTGCTAACAAAAATCCCAATACGTGTAAATTAATTGGTTTACATGAAAGTTATAGAGTTTACAAATGGTGGTATAGATACTGGAATTTTTTTTTCTTTATTATTACTAATAATGGCGGCGATCAGCGACTTATAGCAGGACTGCGGTGGACATTCTGACACTAGGGGGAACTGACTTGGTGTCACTGACATCCCCAGTGACACCAATACAGTGATCAATTTAAAAAAAGCACTGACACTGTACTAATGGCACTGGGCAGAAAGGGGTTAACAATGAGGGATGATCAAAGGGTTAACTGTGTGCTCGGAGTGTTTTTACTGGGGGGCAGACACCCACACACACCGTGTGCTTCACTGTAAAGCACACTGCTCTTGATGGCTCTACTCAGCCATCCAGGGCAGTGTGCCGAACTGACAGGGAAGATGACTGTTGGTAAACAAAGCAGCCCTCCTCCCTGTCTGTGATCCTCGGCAATCACCAGGCACCGGTGGGTAATCAACGGCCGGGACCCGGTGATTGACACCTGGGGCTGCGATCGATGGTTCGGGTAGGGCACGCGTGTGCCTGGAGATGCAAAATCACGCATTTCTCTGTGAGTGAAAGGTTTTTCCTCTGTGCTTATTTGGAAGGTAAATGAATCCAATTTCAAGTTCCATAACAGACCAAAACTGCATTGTACAGGTAAAGAGTATGTTCCTAAATCTAAGTCTCTTAGATCATTACTGTGATCTTGGGAAGGGAAAGCTTCCATTACTTCCTTACTGTTGAAAGCAATCTTGTGAAGCCTGAGATTGGAGCAGGCTAACATTTGCTGTTCTCTTTTTAGAAGACTAATTGCAGACTCATTGGAAGGTAGAGATTTCAAACAGTCATCTACATAAATGTAATTTTCTAAGAATTGTCTAGCATCTGAGCCATACTCAAGCTCACCCTCCTGGGTGGAACATCTAAGTCCATAGATAGGAACTGCAGGAAAAGAGCTGTTGCCAAAGATGTGTACTTTCATGCGGTACTCAATGATGTCTTTGGAGAGGTCATTATTTCTAAACCTAAAAAATCTCAAGAAGTTTCTGTCTTTCCGTCTTACAAAGAAGCAATGGAACATCTTTTGGTTGTCATCTATGAAAGCAACAGAGTCTCTGTGTAAGCATAAGAGCACCTCCAGATGTTTGTTATTGAGGTCTGGACCTGTCAAAAGGACATAGTTTAGGGAGACATCCTCGCATTTGGCACTAGAGTCAACCACTACTCTGATCTGTTGTGGCTTCTGGGGCGGTATACTCCAAATATCTGCATGACCTTTCTCAAATATTTTTCTCCATGAATGTAAAGAAGTGGTCTCTCATTTCTGGCTTTTTGTGGTCTGAAGGGAAGAGGTGCAACCCTCCTGTTTGTGCCATCTTTGACTAGCCCCTGCTCCATTATTTCCAAGAAGTGGTTTTCCTCAATAGACATTGCCATCTGATTGTCCTATTTTGTTCTTACAAAGAGAACCCTAGATGGTTTTGGTCACTGTTACAGGCAAGGTTTTCACTAGAGGGCCTATGAAGGGACAAGGTAAGTGGGCAGTGTATGGAATATCCTTTATGAGGAAATAGCTCTGACATAGCCGGAAAAGGGAGGGACATTCATTCTCTAATGTACTTGTAAGCATGCTGGTAACAAAGGTAGGTTTGTACATACAGTATTTCCTTGACAGGCATCTCCTATAATGACCCATCCTAGGTCTAACATTTGGGCATAGGGAGCATTGTGGGGGACCTTTAAGTTAAGCTCTTGCTTTATAAACTCGTAAGATATCTCTCCCAAGGAGTAGGATTATCTGAGCCTGAGGCTCAAGTTCTGGTAAGTGCGCTATGCGTTTCGAGTGTGGGTGATGAACTGCTGCATCTTGTTTAGGAATTTTAGGTTTGTGCATTCAATAAGAGTTGGTAAGGACAGGCATGTTTGTCCATCAATAGACTTGACTAGATAGCCGGCTGCTCTCCTCCCCGCTGGCTCCGTTACCCTTGCACAAGTACTTAAGGAGTAGGGAATGTTGGAACCTTTAATGCTGAATATGTCAAAGAAGGTTGAGCTGGCAAAAGAGTTGTTACTTTGAACATCAAGAATTGCATAAAGCTTAAAGGCTTTGTTCCCCTGGCCTGCAGGTAAACTCTGACTAGACAGATTTTGGAGCAGGACCTTCCACCTATTATTCCTTTGCAGACCTTTTTGCATTGTGAATTGATCTCTGGTGTAGTTGTAGCAGTGTGTGTCCTTCCTCCTTGCGGTGCCTACTAGTGCTCTGAAGTCCATGGGGATCTGGGATGGTGGTTTTGATACATTTTTATCTTTCGTGTCACACTGTAATTCCAACACATTCGGATTATCATTCACCCGTGTTTTTGACTCACACAGTATCATCTTTTTGGATCCAGTTTTATCAGCTGAGGGGGTTCTGATCCATACTACTAATTATACTAAACCCACTAGTGGTAATTCATACCTTATTTATTCAAGTTGTCACCACCCGGCATGGAAAAACAACTTCCCTAGTGGCCAGTTTCAAAGATTAAGGAGGAATTGCTCCAAACCCTGTGATTATAAAGAACTGGGTATCCATCTGTCTAGCAAGTTCAAGTTCCTTGAAAAAAGTTACCCCTATTAATGATGCGTTTACTAGACATAGTAAAAGCATAGATACCACCAAAACACCAAAAACACGAGCCCATGACAAGCCAAATTGCTCCCAGTGCTCCAGGTCTCGATCCCATTTATGATGCACTGATGAATGTATCCTCCTGAGCCAGCCTGAGTCCCCCCCCCCTTTCTCCAGACCTAGAGGACACCAACAGTCTCCTCAGCACTCCATACTCCATCCGACTCCCCTGTCAGCCTGACAGTCCACCACTCTATCAGGCATCCAAACTTGGGATTGGCTAGGTTCCCATAAACATGCAGATTAATTTTCCACCCCTTCCTGCTTCTAGAAGGTTCCATGGTCCTTCAGAGTTAGGAGGAGGCAAAAGAGCTACAACCTGCTAAGTCATCCAGCTGACCTGCAATGACCCGACCTCAATCATAGACTCAGACACAGTTACTTTGAGTCATACACAATGATTGTATCTGCAATACACTACACTATTCTAGTAGCACACTGGAGGGTACTACAGCTGCATTAAGCAGACGGATCAATAGGTATTATCTGAGCCTGGAGAATAGAGTCAAATGTATTAGATACATATCTGGCTTATCAGCTAAAGAGATGTCAGTTTATTTGGATTGGATGGTTTTACTACATCATATTATAAGAAATTTAGTGCTAACCTTACATCACATCTGACCAACTTTTTCAATCCTCTGTTAGAGGGTGGCAAATTCAATCAAAAACCAAATCAATTGTTCTCTATGTGCCCTGTTCACACCACAACACTAGTATCACATGCAGATTTTTTCTGCACAAGAATCTGCAACATGTATAAGGCCTTGTTTACACCATTCCTGCAAGAAAACTGATGTCTCTGCAAGTGAAATCTGAACATCAATTTCCATCAGATTTTCTTCAGATTCACTTACAGAGACATCAGTTTAATATCAGTTTATATTAGATTTCATGCAATGAAAAAATGAATTTCAATGAGTTTTTATACATGTTGCAGATTCCTGCACAGAAAAAATGTGCACTTGATACTAGTGTTTTGGTGTGAACAGAGCACATATAGAACAATTGATTTCATTGTGTCCTTGCAGAGCACATGCAGAAAAACTGACGTCTCTGCACTATGGTTTGAATGAGCCCTAAAACTCACTGAAGTGTGCATGAAAACTGATGTATCTGCAAGTGAAACCTTCATGTCAGTTTCCATCAGTTTTTCTGTACGTACGATGTGAATGAGGCCTAAGGGCTCGTTCATACCATACGAGCAGAAAAACTGATGGAAACTGATGTACACATTTCACTTGCAGAGACATCAGTTTCCCATCAGTTTATATTAGATTTAATGCAATGAAAAATGAATTTCAATGCTGTGAACAGAAAACATAGAGAACAACTGATTCATTGTGCCCTTGCAGAGTGCATGCAGAAAAAAATGACGTCTCTGCACCATGGTTTGAACAAGCCCTAAAACTCATTGAAGTGTGCTTGAAAACGAATGTCTCTGCAAGTGAAATCTGCGCGTCAGTTTCCATCAGTTTTTCTGTGCGCTTTTTATTTTTCATGCTATAAACAAAAAAAGTCCAAAATTTTTGAAGAAAAACGATATTTTTTTACTTTCAGCTATAAAAAATATATTGTAAACTCAAAGTTAGTTATAAATTTAGGCCAAAATGTATTCTGCTACATGTTTTTGGTAAAAAAAAAAATCCCAATAAGTGTATATTGATTTCTTAGTGTGAAAGTTATAGCGTCTACAAACTATGGTATAGATACTGCAATTTACGCCATTTTTTTTATATACAGCGCTGCGCTAGTTTAACGGACAATTGCGCGGTCATGCAAAACGGTACATAAATGAAATTTACATCCTTTTTTTTCACAAAAATTGAGCTTTCTTTCGGTGGTATTTGATCGCCTGTGCTGTTTTTATTTTTTGCGCTATAAAAAAAAAAAAAGGCTGACAATTTTGAGAAAAAAAAAACAATATTTTGGACTTTTTGCTATAAAACATGTCCAGTAAAAAAAATTTTAAAATCAAATTTCATCATAAATTTCTGCCAAAATGCATTCTGCGACATGTCTTTGCTAAAAAAAAACCCCAATATGTGTAAATTAATTGGTTTACATGAAAGTTATAGCGTTTAGAAATGACGGGAAAGATACTGGGATTTTATTTTTTTTTTATACTAATAATGGCGGCAATCAGCGACTTATGACGGCGATCAGTGACTTATGGCGGCGATCAGTGGGACTGCGGCGGACATTCTGACACTGGGGGGGAACTGACTTGGGGTCACTGACATCCCCAGTGACACCAATACAGTGATCAGTGCAAAAAAAAAACCACTGACACTGTACTAATGGCACTGGGAAGGAAGGGGTTAACGTTTTATTTACTGAAAGGGTTAACTGTGAGGGGAGTGTTTTACTAGGGGGTGGGGGTGTGTACTGCAGGAGGACACGCTGATCGGGAGAGATAAACTCTTCTCTCCCAATCATCATTGTGTCAGGCAACTGACAGAAAGCAGGGCTACTGCAGCCCTGCTCTCTGTCAGTGATTGCCGATAATTGGCAATGTCTGTGACCCGGCGACTGACACCCGCGGCCCGGATCGGCGGTGCAGGTAGGGCGGCGGCACGCCTCTCGCGCGCCCCCTACCTGTTTTGCAAATGCACGTTTTAAAACGTGCTTTTGCCCAGCCGTGCCGAACTGCCACCGTATTTCTACTGTGACTGGTTGACAAGTGGTTAAAAGAAAAATAAAGGGCTGAACAAGACGCAAAACACTGTGAAAACGCATCAACAATGCATGTAGAAAACCGAACTTAGAAAAGCACTGCAAAACGGACAAAAAGCAACCTGCCTAGGTGTGAACGGAGCCTTCTGATCCTAGATTGCCGGGATCGCCGGTGCAGGTAGGGCGGCAGCGCGCCCCCTACCTGTTTTGCAAACGCACGTTTTAAAATGTGCTTTTGCCCAGCCGCGCTGACCTGCCACCGTATTTCTACAGTGGCTGGTCGGCAAGTGGTTAAAAGAAAAATAAAGGGCTGAACAAAATACAAAACACTGTGAAAACGCATCAAACGCATGTAGAAAAACGAACTTAGAAAAGCACTGCAAAACGGACAAAAAGCAAGGTGCCTAGGTGTGAACGGAGCCTTCTGATCCTAGATTGCTGACTAGGTGATCCCTTCTATTATCACATTATCCCTTCTCTCTTCTATAGTGATCTTGACACCCAGCTGATAGGAGCACTGACAGCAGTACCACTGCTATCCGGCAAGGGGCAGTGTGAGCGCTGCCGGAAGTGTGTCCCACGCTGCGCTCCGTACTCCGGTGTGCACCGGCTTTTGGTCTTCCCCTGTGTGTGGTGTCCGTGTTGTGGTAGCATTGTAGAGCTGTGAGGAGACAGAGCACCGACATGTCTGTGGAAAAGGGAGAGCTGGATCTAAGCGGAGCCAAGCAGAACACAGGCGTGTGGCTGGTGAAGGTGAGGAAGGCCGCATACATCATTGGTGTACGAGGAGTGAAGTCTCATGTAGTGACTGCCACGCTTCCGGTTATCCTTCATTAGAGGGACAGCTCCTCATTAGGACACTTCTCCTCCTTCCTCCACAGCTGTCCTCTTTGTGTATGGGATTACTGTTCATCTAAAGCTTCACCATGAGCACATCTATCCAGTACTTGTTCACATAGCACCACCAGCTGCTGTAGTGCTGTACAGAGCATTAGATATCCATAGCACCATCCTTTGTTGTCTCTAACATTTTCCTAGACAGATGCCTACGTTTTTTTCAGCAAAACAGGACACATTCTGCGGCATAAGGGAACTAGGGATGTAGGTTTTGAGGATATGCTCCAAGTAGAGTGACAGACAAAACTTTTTTTTTTTATCAACCCCTTGGCGCCCGCGGCTCCTGGCCCTTTAAGGGTTTCAGAAGATGGGAGGCAGGGTTTTAGGGTCATGTGACCGCCGTGATTCGCGGTCACATGATCATGAAAGGTCCCGATCGAAAAGAGGAGATTGGGACCTTTCTTTGAGTACCGGACGTGTGCTGGGCGCACACTCTCAGACTCTCAGCACATATGTTTTTTTTAATTGCGCACAAAATGTGAGGCCACTCGGCGTCTAGGCCCAGACGGCGGGATGCTCCACATTTGTGTGCGGCCGGCGTGAAGAGGTTAAGGAAGGGTTATAAGGCTCATGTACACTGCAGCTGATAAACTCATGTTTAGGAGCTTCTCTGCGGTTTTTTTTTTCCAGCAGCCCCTGAACGCTCCCTAATGTCCAGAGCCCTTTTTCATCATAAAAAAATGCATGCAAAGCACTTTGCCGGTACTCAAATGGACCCGGTACACTATACTTTGAGGTTTCGCATGAAAGCAAATATGTTAGACACTGCTGCAATAATTTCTGCACAGAAATGAGCTGGAACACATCCAAACGCCACAAAAAAAAAAAAAAAGCTAGTCTCAACAAATACTGCTCTCTCTGCTTCTGCTCTCTATTTCTCTCAAAATGTCTGAAAGTTAATTTTTTTTACTGTTTTTCAGTGCATTCTGGGCATTTTGGAAGGTCTCCTGAGGTTATCTTTAAAAAACACCTAAACGCAAACGTGGCTAAACTGTCGTTTTTTTAACCTATGTTTTCCAGCAGTTTCCATCCCTTAGAAGTGTTCCGTGTACATGGAGCCTAACCCTGTCAGTTTTTTTTTCCAGTCTATGTCCCATTGGGGAGATTTACCTTCACTTCCTTCCCAATGTCCAAAACCAGAAGTGAGTGAAAACAAATGTCCCCGTTGGAAGATATCCCCTCTATTGCTGTGCAAAGATAGGTGGATGAGTCATTCAGCAGAATTACATGTTACTGTACACAGGTTTTGAGGTCAGATTGTAATCTGGTTGAGATTGGTTTGTGTACATTGCTTCATAGTTGCTATTAAGATGCTGCATACAAGTTCCTTTAACCACTTCCTGCCCGGCTGTTGTATATAAACGGCCAGACGGTGGCAGTGCAGGGGCTGGTGGCCATTTATAAATGGCCTCCCTGCCCTCTGCTTGTGCATGCTCCCTGGGAGCATGCAGCAATGAGATCCAGTGCCCGCTGTGTCCTCCGATTGTTGTATGTGACCTCTGTGCGAGGTCCCGATCATGTGATCACTGATTAGCCGATCAGTGATCACATGAATATTAGTAAGCAAGATGTCACTTCTGACAACATTGCTTACTACGTGTGAAATTTGTGAATGAGCACAGAGATCACATGGTACAAGGCTATTCACAACAACATTGTACTATGTGACAAGCCGTGACCAATCACAGCTCACACAGTATTTCTCAATGGCTGCAAGAATGCAGCCAGAGAGAAGGATAAATGATTGTTTTTACAGCCTTTATGGGTGTAAAAGCAATCGGTGTAAAAAAAAAAAAAAAAAAAAAAAAAAAATTCTTCATAACCCCCACAAGTAGTACAGTGTTAGCATGTTGACACTGTACTGCTATGGTGACACATTTGTAAAATAAATAAATAAAAATGTAAAATATTTTTTAAAAGTTATAATTTTTGGTTATAAACTAATTTGGTTTTTTTTTTTTTTTTTTTTACTAAAAAGAGAACGGAATAATTTTTGGCCAAGATTTATGAAGAAAGATTATTTATTTGCAAAATTTTATAAGACAAACACTTTTTTTCAAAATTTTTGGACTTTTTCATTTATATAGCAAAAAAAAAAAAAAAATCCCAGTGGTGAATAAATACCAGCAAAATAAAGCTTTATCTGTCTCAAAAAAATGCCAAAAAATTCATATGGGTACAGTGTTGCATGACTGCGTATTTGTCATTCAAAGTGTGATAGCGCTGAAAGCTGAAAATTGGCCTGGGCAGGAAGTGGGTAAAAGTGTCCAGACTTTAAGTGGTTAAAAATGCAACACAAATGTCTGTGTACACTTGCTGGGTGGAAGTGCCAGCAGTCTGTTGATACACTAAAGATAAAGTGTTACAATAGTCAAAATAGATGTAAACAGTAACAGGATGATGTTTAGTTTGCTAAAGCACTGTGTATTATTAATAATTGCTATTTTGTCCATAAAATACTGTTTAACCACTTCAATACTGGGCACTTATACCCCCTTCCTGCCCAGGCCAATTTTCAGCTTTCAGTGCTGTCGCACTTTGAATGATAATTGCGCGGTCATGCAACACTGTACCCATATGAAATTATTATTTTTTTCACACAAATAGAGCTTTCCTTTGGTGGTATTTAATCACTACTGAGTTTTTTTTATTTTTTGCTAAATAAAACAAAAAAACACCTGAAACTTTTGAAAAAAACGCACTTTTTTTTCCCCACGAATAGATCTTTCTTTTGGTGGTATTTGATCACTTGTGCGTTTTTTATTTTTTGCATTATAAAAAAAAAAGACAATTTTGAAAAAAAAAAAACTATTTTTAGCTTTTTGCTATTAAACATGTCCAGTAAAAAAAAAAAAAAAAAATCTAATTTCATCATAAATTTAGGCCAAAATGTATTCTGCTACATGTCTTTGCTAAAAAAAAAAACCCAATACATGTAAATTAATTGGTTTATGTGAAAGTTATAACATTTACAAATGGCAGTATATATACTTGGATTTTTTTTTTTTTTTACTAGTAATGGCGACTATCAGCGACTTATAACAGGACTGCGGTGGGCATTCTGATACTGGGGGGGAACTGACTTGGTGTCACTGAGATCCCCAGTGACACCAATACAGTGATCAGTAACAGTAATCAGTAAGGGTTAACTTTGTGCTGTTTTACCGTGTGCTGTGTGTGTGTGCATGCTTCATTGTATACACACTGCTTTGCATGGCTCTGCTATGCAAAGCCATGCATAGCAGTGTGCAGGAGCTGACAGGGGAGAGAACTGTATTATTTACTTACAGTTCTCTCCCTCCGTCGGTTAGGCTCCTTGATCACCAGGTGCCAGCGAGTAATCACCGGCTGGGACCCGGTCATTGACAGCCAAAGCCGTGGATAGCGGTTTAGGTAGGGCACGCGCGCCCCCTACCCGGTAATGCAAAATCACGTATATATACGTGGTTTTGCACACCCGTGTCGCCCTGTACCAGTATTACTTATATTGGACGGGCAGGAAGCGGATAAATTGTTCTTTATTTTTTAACTGCATCAGATGTACTTAATTGCTCTGAGGTAGCTTTCTCTCCTGATGGTGACCAGGGTGGACCATGAAATCACATTAACCAGGGCTTTTTTCAGCAGGAATGTGGGGGGAACATAGTTCTGAATGTACGTAACGGCAAGGGATGCTGGGGTGTATTGATGCTGGCTGTCGGGGGATCTATTGTGGTTGTAGGGGATTTATTTCTGCATGGGGGTCTATTGTTGCTGCGGAAGTCTGTTGTGGGGGGGGTCTATTGTTGCGGGATCTATCTTACTTTTTTTTCTTGTTATTACTAAAAAATAAAAAATACTTAGCACCACAAAATGATACATGGTTATGTATTCTCAAAAAGGGGTGGTACTGTTAGATGGGCAGGGGGTAGAACCAAGGGATACTACTCGGAGGTGGGTAGGGGTGGAGACAAGTGGTGACTCATAAAAGGGGAGTTCCTGCACCTACAATGGGGATCGAAAGTTTGGGCACCCCAGCTAAAAATTTGTATTAATGTGCATATAGAAGCCAAGGAAAGATGGAAAAATCTCCAAAAGGCATCAAATTACTGATTAGACATTCTTATAATATGTCAACAAAAGTTAGATTTTATTTCCATCATTTACACTTTCAAAATAACAGAAAACAAAAAAATGGTGTCTGCAAAAGTTTGGGCACCCTGCAGAATTTATAGCATGCACTGCCCCCTTTGCAAAGCTGAGACCTGCCAGTGTCATGGATTGTTCTCAATCATCGTCTGGGAAGACCAGGTGATGTCAATCTCAAAGGTTTTAACCACTTCCAGACCGGACACTTTTACCCCCTTCCTGACCAGGGCAATTTTCAGCTTTTAGCGCTATCACACTTTGAATGACAATTGCGCAGTCATGCAACACTGTACCCAAATGAATTTTTACCATTTTTTTGAGACAGATAAAGCTTTATTTTGGTGGTATTTATTCACCACTGGGATTTGTATTTTTTTTGCTATGTAAATGAAATGTCCAAAAATTTTGAAAAAAAGTTTTTTTTATAAAATTTTGCAAATAAATAATATTTCATCATAAATCTTAGCCAAAATGTATTCCGTTATCTTTTTAGTAAAAAAAAAAAATCCAAATTAGTTTATAAGCAAAAATTATAATTTTTAAAACTTTTTTTACATTTTTATTTATTTTTTTATATTATTATTTTTTATTTTTATTTTTTACATACTGTCACCCTAGCAGCACAGTGTCACCATGGTGACACTGTACTACTTGTGGGGGGTGATGAAGATTTTTTTTTTTTTTTTTTTTTTTTACACTGATTGCTTTTACACCCATATAGGATGTAAAAGCAATCATTTCTCTTTCTCTCTGTGTGCATTCTTGCACTCATTGAGAAGTACTGAGTGAGCTGTGATTGGTCACAGCTTGTCACATGGTACATGTGACCTCTGTGATCATTCACAGATTTCACACTTAGTAAGCAATGATGTCACAAGTGACATCTTGCTTACTACTTTGCATGTGATCACTGATTGGCCAATCAGTGATCACATGATCGGGACCTCGTACAGAGGTCCCGTCCGACCGGTGTTTCACTGTGTCCGGAGGACACAGCGGGCACCGGATTGCGGTGCTGCGCGCTCCCAGGGAGCGCGCACAAGCAGGGTGCGGGGAGGCCGTTTATAGACGGCCACCCGACCCTGCAGTGCCACCGTCCGGCCGTTTATATACAACGGCCGGACGGGAGGTGGTTAAATGCCCAGACTCATCTGACCTTGTCCCAACAATCAGCACCATGGGTTCTTCTAAGCCAGGGGTGTCCAAACTTTTTTCAAAGAGGGCCAGATTGGATGAAGTGAACATGGTGGAGGGCCGAACATTTTTCCGAACATTCTTTGAACCATTACAATTAAATGCAAATAAATTATTTTATGCCAAGTTAATTGCAAACGACATACTTTTCATTTCATAACATTAAGATCAACTGACAGCTGAGTTTTCACAATGTATTGAAAATAAATTAAAAAAAAACTTACCTGCACTAATGTGAAGGGTGAAAAAGGTAGCTGGAGCTGAAGTCTCTGCTCGGCAGCCGGGAGGGGAAGAGAAACACACTTCACGCTGGAAGCCCGGCCCTGACGTCACCGCCCTCTGTCGCTCCCAGCGCGGCGCAGTCACGCATGCGCACTGCTCTCAAGCAGAAGACTGTCTGCCACAGAAGGGAGGGCCGTGCGACAGCCGCATTTACACAGACCAGGGAGAACACGCCGCAGTCAGGCATGCGCACTGCCCTCTGCTCTCAAGCAGAAGACTGTCTGCCATAGAAGGGAGGGCCATGGGAGGGCCACATTACACAGAGCAGGGAGGGCTGTTGGAGGGCCGTATTAAACCGACCCCCGGGCCGTAAATGGCCCGCGGGCCAGACTTTGGACATGCCTGTTCTAAGCAGTTGTCTAGAAAACTGAAACTGAAAATAGTTGACGCTCACAAAGCTGGAGAAGGCTATAAGAAGATAGCAAAGCATTTTCAGATGTCAATATCCTCTGTTTCGGAATGTAATTAAGAAATGGCAGTCATCAGGAACAGTGTAAGTTAAAGCAAGATCTGGAAGACCAAGAAAAATATCAGACAGAACAGCTCACAGGATTGTGAGAAAAACAATTCAAAACCCACGTTTGACTGCACGATCCCTCCAGAAAGATCTGGCAGACACTGGAGTTGTGGTACACTATTCCACTATAAAGAGATACTTGTACAAATATGGTCTTCATGGAAGAGTCATCAGAAGAAAACCTCTTCTACGTCCTCACCACAAAAATCATTGTTTGAACTTTGCAAATGAACATATAGACAAGCCTGATGCATTTTGGAAACAAGTTCTGTGGACCGATGAGGTTAAAATTGAACTTTTTGGCCGGAATGAGCAAAGGTACGTTTGGAGAAGAAGGGGCACAGAATTTAATGAAAAGAACCTCTGTCCAACTGTTAAGCATGGGGTTGGATCAATCATGCTTTGGGGTTGTGTTGCAGCCAGTGGCACAGGGAACATCTCACGAGTAGAAGGAAAAATGGATTCAATAAAATTTCAGCAAATTTTGGATGGTAACTTGATGCCATCTGTGAAAAAGCTGAAGTTAAAGAGAGGATGGCTTCTACAAATGGATAATGATCCTAAACACACCTCGAAATCCACGGGGGATTACATCAAGAGGCGTAAACTGAAGGTTTTGCCATGGCCTTCACAATCTCCTGACCTCAACATAATTGAAAATCTATGGATAGACCTTAAAAGAGCAGTGCGTGACAGACAGCCCAGAAATCTCAAAGAACTGGAAGACTTTTGTAAGGAAGAATGGGCAAAGATACCTCAAACAAGAATTGAAAGACTCTTGGCTGGCTACAAAAAGCGTTTACAAGCTGTGATACTTGCCAAAGGGGGCAGTACAAGATATTAACTCTGCAGGGTGGCCAAACTTTTGCAGATGCCATTTTTTTGTTTTCTGTTATTTTGAAAGTGTAAATGATGGAAATAAAATCTAACTTTTGTTGACATATTATAAGAATGTCTAATCTGTAACTTGATGCCTTTTGGAGATTTTTCCATCTTTCCTTGGCTTCTTTATGCACATTAATGCAAATTTTTAGCTGGGGTGCCCAAACGTTTGATCCCCACTGTATTTTATGATTAAAAAAAAGCCCTGACATTAACTAGTGATTGGGTCTAGGTCTACTTTGAGTTGTGATATGTTCACAGTGTACACTATTCTTTTAGCTTTATCTTTCGAGTGGAAAGGAAAGATTTGTCTGAACTTTAAACATGCAAGTGCAGTCAAGTATTTTTCACTATGCAATATCAGGAGCTGAGGTAACTGCAGTGTTTTAGTTAAGGGGAGTAGAGATAACAGGAAAATTCTAGAAGGTTATATTTTTTTTTACATATGTTGTTTAATTACTTCCCGCCCAACCTATAGTAAAATGACGGCCGGGAGAACCTCTCTTCCCTTCGGTAGGGCGTCATATGACGTCCTTCCCGGATCGCGCTCTGCACATGCCCACAGAGCCGTGCTGTGGTGAGATCTGTCACTGGCTGTGTACCTCGGACACGGCCGATGACAGATCTGTGTATTGGCCCCGTTGCCAGTACCATGTGACCAATCACAGCAGGTCACATGACAGTTGTAGACAATGGATGACTTCCTTTCATGCTAGCTGTGAATGGTCACAGTGATCGCATGCACAGGCTGGGCCAGTCACAGCCCATCTGTGTCATGTGATTAGCTGTGGTCAATCACAGCTAATCACAGCAAAAAAAGCTGAATGAATCGATTTCATTCGGCTAAATGCTTGCTTATAGTAAAGAAATTCTTTGCTATAAGCAATCAAATTGTGTAAAAAAAAAAAAAATTGATCGCTTCCCCAAAGTAGTACAATGTTACTATGGTACCATTATACTACTTTGGTCATAGTGTATTATGAAAAAAAAACCTTAAAAAAAGAAAAAAAAAGTAATAAAAAAATAAACAAAAATTGAAACTATCTTTTTTTTTTTTTTTTGTACTGTCAACACTCAGTGTCCCTGATCACCACCACACCGGTTATATGATGAAGCT